GGCCTCGGACGGGCAGGTGCAGGCGCGGCCGCGGCTTCGCGTGGCCTCGGGCTCGCGGCTGCAAGGAGAGGAAACGCGGAAAGCGCTCGGTGCCGCCTCTCAAGTGTCTTTTCAACCGCGGAGATGATCCCCCCTGATGGGGAGACGCGATGCAGGGCGAGTGGCCAACCGTGCTGGCCACGACAAGGTAAGATTTACTCCCTTATGCGTACAGGAACTGGGGTACAGGCCCGAGGGGCGGGGCGGGGGGGAGAGGGTTCCCCAGAGACAGGGCGGGGCGCAGAGCAGGCCGAGACGCCGAAACCCACAGCGGAGGGGCAGCGGGGGGACAGCAGGGGTCTGGGCGCCAGGTGGGTCACGCCCTGGCCGGGCCCCAATTCCTGCTGCAGCGGCTGCGGGCGGCTGATGCGCCTGGACCCTGCACCGCCAACAAGGGCCCTAGTCTGCACTTTTTCCTACAAAAGCAAACTGAAAAGCAACCTGAAGTTTCACGGGTGGCTGAACACCTCCCTCCTCACATAAGTAAGATGCTATCAAGTGGCCGGTTAAATATAGAGCGGACAGCTCCCCGGGGCTCAGCGGGAGGTCCTCCCTGCACGCGGGAGTGAGTCTCTCGTCTGCCCGGCAGCTTTGCCCCTCTGGGGCTGGTCTCCACCAGCGAGTCCTTTTTGCATTTAAAATGTGTGTTGCTGTTCTGAAAAAGATTCTGTTTCCTTACAGCCCTCTCCTGTGAGAAGTTACCTTTGCATCTGCGTGGTGGCGAGGTGCCAGGGTGTTCAAACCCCTGTGCTTCCTCTGAATACTGACGGGTTAAAACACGTGACACCCCTGCTCATAGTACAGACACCCCCATGCATATCCACGTATCTCTCAGAGATGCGCTGGGGGGGGACAGGAAGTGATGGAGCCTGCGGCAGGTTGACCCGTCAGGCATCTGCTTTCTGGAAAGTGCTGCTTAAAGCTTTTTCTCAGTTGAAAAATCATCTGCAATTATCTGCACCAGCTTCATCTTTCCTTTTCTGAACTCACATTGTAAAGTGATACTGTTGAGTTTCCAGTTATTTAAAATCCACTGCTGGTCATAATTCCATTCACCACTTAAAGAGCTGACATCCATACACTTGGAAACGCAAACAATTTAAACCTCAATCTGTAGGACACATTTGGACTATTTCTAGAGGTTAATCCCACTTGCAGGGGGTGGGGGTGGGGGAGGGAATCATTAACACAGCAAGGAGACTAGGTTTGGCTACTTTTAAGGCAAACATAACTGAAATAGACTGCAGAACTGTCAACTTTCCTGACCAGAAGGATCAGGGAAACACTTAATGACAAATTAAAACAAAAGCTCAAGCCCAAGGCGCAATCATTTTTTACAGAAATATTAAATGCTGTAGCTGGAGTCTGGTGTAAACTATCGTAAGGCAACCCAGAGAGAAAGAGGAGGAGCTGTTGAGAGGTTATCACAATTTTGTTTAAAAAAAGAAGAAGAAGAAGAATTACCATTTATAAGAGGACATCCTTGCTCGGACCCCACCGGTGTCGTCTGTAAATTCCAGCAGATCCAGGGAAGTTTTATAGAATCCAGCCTCGGTGGTTTGGGGAATCTTGCTTCCCGGTCAGCATCAGACTTCTGGAAAGATGAGAGTCCCCTGAGGAAAGAAGCAGCCTCTCTCACACATGGCACTCTGAGCCGTTTAAACTAATATGCTCCTCAGTCTCATATTGCTCAGCTGTCACCTCCCTGGTCAGATGGGGAAGACGATTAATTTTAGACACCAGGCTTTTGAAGCCAGTGGATCCATTTCAGAGGTCAGGTAAGGAGAGGACCGGCGGGGACCAGTGGATAAAATATCAGCTAGACCTTTTCCTCTGATCCTGCAGCAAGGCTGTGTTTGACTCGGACCAACATATTCCCGGCCCTCCAGCCCT